CCAGTTTAACTTTGATTCTTTTTCTTGTTGAAAACTAATTCATGCAATAGCTACATCTCATAAATTTGATTTTTTTTTAGTTTGATATATTTTCTGATTTCCTAATGATTTCTTCTTTGACCCATGATTACTTAGAAATGCTTTGCTAATTTCTAAGTATTTGGAGATTTCCTGGATTTCTTTCAGTTTGGGGTTTCTATCTAACTCTGTAGTTGGAAGACATTGTATGATTTAGATCATTTTAAATAGAGTGGGACTATTTCATGGTTTAGCATGTAGTATATCCTTGAAATATGTCACATATGCACTTGTAAAGAATTTATACTCTGCAGTCCTTGAGTGGACATCTCCATATATCAGTAAAATTGATTTTCAGTGGTACTCAAGTCCTCTATATAATTGCTAATTTTCTATCTATGTGATCTGTCAATTATCAAGTGGGCCATTGAGTTCTCCAAAAACATTGGATTTTATACTGCTCTTTTCAAGTCTATCAGTACTTAATTCAAATTATAAGACTGTCACTAGGTATGTAAACCTTTATAATTTTTAATACCTTCCTGAGATGCTGAATTTTTATCACTGGGATCTCTAATAACACTTCTGGTCTCAAAATGCAGTGGAGGATGGCCCAAGTGCTTGGGCCCTGCACCCCATGGGAGACCAGGATAAGCACCTGGCTCCTGCCTTCAGATCAGTGCGGTGCGCCGGCTGCGGCAGCCATTGGAGGGTGAACCAACGGCAAAGAAACACCTTTCTCTCTGTCTCTCTCTCTCACTGTCCACTCTGCCTGTCAAAAAAAAAATCTATTATATCTGCTATTAACAACTCACCTATATCTCTTGTAGTTACTATTTTCAGGATACCTTTTTTATTTTATTTTCAATCGATGCCTTTGAATTCCAGGTGTATCTCTTCTTCCCTTTGGCAATCTTTCTTTCCCATCTGGCAGTCTGTGACTTAGGAGTGTAGTAGTTAGAGCATTTATGTTAATGTGACATGGCTGTGTTTGTCCATTATTTTACCTTTTTCTCTACATGCTCCCTGTCATTATTCTTCATTCTTCATAACTGTTTTCTTCGGTGTTAAATATTTTTCATCTACCATTTCAATTGTGATAATTTGGTTTTTTATAAACTATATTGGTGTTCTTTCAGTGGGTGCTCTGGGGATTAAAATATGTCTTTTCTCACAATCTACTTCAGGTTCATGTTTTGTTTTTGTTTTTTTTGTTTTTTTTTTTTTTTTTTTGACAGGCAGAGTGGACAGTGAGAGAGAGAGACAGAAAAGTCTTCCTTTTTGCCATTGGTTCACCCTCCAATGGCCGCCAGGGCTGGCGCACTGTGGCTGGCACACCGCGCTGATCCGATGGCAGGAGCCAGGTACTTATCCTGGTCTCCCATGGGGTGCAGGGCCCAAGAACTTGGACCATCCTCCACTGTACTCCCTGGCCACAGCAGAGAGCTGGCCTGGAAGAGGGGCAACCGGGACAGAATCCGGCGCCCCGACCGGGACTAGAACCCGGTGTGCTGGCGCCGCAAGGCGGAGGATTAGCCTATTGAGCCGCGGCGCCGGCCTCATGTTATCTTAATTCTAGTAAAAGGTAAAAATTCTCTGCAAAGGAGCTCCAGTTCCTCCCTCCTTTGTGCTATTGTTGTTATTGATATTACACTGATGTCAATTATAATAAAGTGTAGTATCTTTAAAGACATTAAAATGAAGAAGCCATCACCTGCAGGATGCTTAAGTTCTAATTCCATGAGGCGCTGCGGGCCCCTCAGCATAGCTGGTACAGGGACTTCAGACAGATCCGGGATATTATGTAGGCTCTGCATGTCAGGCCCTTGGGGAAGGAGCTGCCAGCCACGCAGTGTCTGTCAGGCATTGAAGAAGGGGAGCATTTAGATTGCTCCTTTGATATGGAAGCTGAGTCACACCACTGGAATCAGCTATCTGTGTACTGGAGATGATTAAAATGGAATTTACATTGACAGAAGCAGTGATGGAATCCAGTAGAAAACTGGTCAAGGAGGCTGCTGTCATTTGTATCAAATACAAAGAATTTGAAAAGGCTTCAAAAATCATGAAAAAGCATATGTCTAAGGACCCCACAGCTCAGAAGGTGAGCAATGACCTCCTGAACATTACTTGAGAAAATAACGTGGTCCACCCTGTTATCCAGAACCTTTCCTTCTGTCTTTCAGCAGAAGATGCTGCACTTCCTGGAGAGCCACTGGATGACACAGAGCCCTACCTCTTCACGGTGGCCCAAAAGGCTTTGAAAGCTGAGTCTGCTGCTCAAGTACAGTGAAGGAAGACAAGCAGCCAGCACCAGAGCCGTCGGAAAGCTTCCCAGAGAACCAGCAAGGCAGCTACAGAGTACTCCAACCACCCCGGAATCACAGCTCTGGAGTCAGCGTTCAAGGCTCTGGCCAGTACATGGGATCCTGATGCAGCCTTCTCAAAACTGGACCAGAAACATTTGGTACTTCCTAATCAAGTGACCCACCATCACCAGCCCTCAAAAACAAGAGACCAAGAAAAGATGAGAACAAAAGTTCAGTCCCTGCTGAGGATGAGGGTGGCTCACAACTGCAGCCCAAGTGCAAGCGCTTGGCGATAAGCAGATTGGTTTGGGAAGAGGCCAGCCAGAGAACTGGCCCAGCACAGGCCTCACCTCCTCCCAAGAGGCTGTTCCCATATCACCACCCAAGCCCAGGGCTCTCAACCAACCCCACCCCAAGGAGAAGAATTCCAAGTATGAAGAACTTATTTGCAGCAGTTTTCAGGCTTGTTGGTGATGCTGGTTGGGCCTAATATTACTTCTGTGAATGAATTAACAGCTAAGTTACCACCCAGCTTGCTCAGACTGCTAGAGAAGAGTCTAGCAGGAGTCCCTTTGTTAGGCAGGAAGTCAGATATGAGCTTATGTGTGACTAAGGCCTAAGGAGACAACTAGGTCCAGCATATGCATCTCAAAGTCATCCCAATAACCTTCCAGGTGCAGCCCAGTGTCTGTACTTCAAACGCCCTACCCCTTCTACCTGATAACCATCCTTCCTCTAAGGCTGGGCGACACCAGCCAGGCTTCCCCCTGCCTGATAACTTCATGGGGAAAACTCAGAAAGGAATTTTTTGTATTTACATCCAAAAAGGAGAAGAAGCAGGAAGGCAAGACCCATTGCCTTAAAAACCCTGGCCTCACCTTAACCTGGACTGGACTGCGCTCAGCCCTCTGCCTCTCTACTGAGCTGCCCACCTGGCCTGGCCTGGTGTATTCTCTCCACTCAACCATGTAACCTCGCTCTCCCCCAGACTAAGAGACTGGGCACGCTCTCTCAGGTTCTGTCTGGAGAGGTGCCCATCTGTTCTTACGGATGTCCCTGCCCTAATAAATCTTGCTATTTGCTTTCCACTTACTCTCTGTCTCACGCCTGAATTCTTTCTTGCACAAAGACAAAAGACCCTGCCATTCTCCAGTAATAGACAGATCCAAAGCCAGGAGCCAGGAGCTTCTTCCAGGTCTCCCTCATGGGTGCAGGGCCCAAGGATTTGGGCCACCGTATACTGCTTTTCCAGGCCATAGCAGAGAGCTGGATCAGAAGTGGAGCAGCTGGGACTTGAACCGGCACCCATATGGGATGCCAGCACTGCAGGTAGTGACTTTACCCACTATACCACAGCACAGGCCCCAAGACATTTCTTCTTATAGACAAACAATATACAAAACATTAGACAAGCACAGAAACCATGGAAACAGGTATTAGAATGACAAAAACCAATTTTCGTAAGGAACAATACAATCTGCTCATTAAACAAAAGCATTATAGGACCTAATAATTAGAGAGCCAAAATAAACCAACACAGATAACCTTTGATAAAATTAAAGACTGATTGTACATTAACTTAGAACCTTGCCAAGGGCATGCTGACACTCAACAGGTAGACACACAGGAAGTTTCAGGTGTACACATTTCACATTGAATCGAGATTTCCAATATGGGACAATGAAACCTTCAACTGGTTACAGCTGAATCTGGGGGAGCCTCACTCACGTCAAGGCATTATGATCAAAGACCCCATGGAAAACAACTATAGTTTAACAGGTATGATTTTTTGGTTCATTAAAATTAGGGAGACCAGGGGGCTGGCGCTGTGGCATAGCGGGTAAAGCCACTGCCTGCAGTGCCAGCATCCCATAGGAGCGCTGGTTTGGGGCTCAGCTGCTCCACTTCCAATCTAGCTCTCTGCTACGGCCTGGGAAAGCAGAAGATGGCCTAAGTTCTTAGGCCCCTGCACCCATATGGGAGACCTCGAGGAAGCTCCTGGTTTCAGATCAGCACAGCTCCAGCCAATACGGCCATCTGGGGAATGAATCAGTGGTTGGAATACTTCTCTCTTGCTCTCTCTGCCTCTGCCTCTCTGTAATTCTGCCTTTCAAATAAACAAATCTTTAAAAATAAATAAATAAAATTAGGGAGATTACACATCAGCCAGAACTATGAGGCATCAGAGTCAGCAGAAACAAGGAAAAACTTACAGGTTGGGCTTGTAAGAGGCAATTTGAGGGGATTCCAGGAAGCAGGAATTTGTCCTGTACTGAATAGTTGGGGGGGGGGGATTCATTAGATATCTTGATCTTATCCAAAAGCCGATAGGAGCATACAGTCAAAGCCCTGCTTGGAGAGCACATAGGCACTATTCATATTTCGACCAAGAAAGGAAAATATTTGAGTTTTGTGGTCTGAACAATTTTCATGATTTTGTCTCCATTAAGATTAACAGTGATCCAGCTTTTATTTTCCCTAACCTTTCATGGTCACAGAGTGGCACTGTCTGGCCCCCATGCGCTGCTTCTGCTCAACAGGACACCACCATCGCCTAGCTGTGCTTGTGCACTCATGGCGACATCCCGGTAACATCAGCCAGCTTAGTCTTGCTTTAAAACGGCTGGGAGGAGTTTCTTGGAGGTAACGGGGGAAGGGGTTATTTCAGCTTACAGTGTGGAGGTTCACACTTCAGGATCATGCAGTCCCTTTAGTCTGGTGTCCAGTGGAGGCTGGCCACGGTGGAGCAGGTATGGAGGAAGTCCCATAGTGAGCCAGGCTGCAGAGAGGAGAGACGTAAGAACTCCAATAAACAAACCTCTCACAAAAGCTGTCTTCCCGGGGCAATCCCACATGACCTAAGACCTCCCAGTGGCCTCATGGCCTAGCCTTCATAATTACCATAATCCACTAACCATTATCACCAATCTGTAAACATTAACATAAGACATTGGGGAGTTTAAACATGTGCACGAGTTTGGGGACCCATGTTCTGTTCAGTGCATAACACAGCAACTGCTTAACCAGCAGCCATGTTCCTGTCACCTTTCATCACATTAAAACCCAAGAGTGGCTCCTAAGACTCCCTGGTGTGTTGAAGGAGTTCCCACAGCTGAGGAGAGGGTCTAAATGGGCTGCAAGCATGTGGGCTTTCTCCGGTGGGGAAGATACCACTGAAGGGAAAACCTGATGTCAGGCGCACCAATGTGGAAAACGTCTCTCGCTAGGAGACGCAGATTGCCCGGGGCCACTGATGTGGCCACAGTGTGCCCAGCACTAAGCCCACTGATTCAGTGAGCACATTTGCTGGGGTAGGCCCTTTAAGGCATAAGCCCAAAGCTTCCATTTCCAGAAGAGGAAGCCTCACAAGTTGAAAGAGCCTAGATGGAGTAACCTTTTTCAGTTTCAATGTGGGGGGCCAAAGAGCCCCCTGGACTTGGATGTCTTCTTTGTGAAAGCATTTGGTGGCTATTTCCGCAGCCCATTAAAGCTGCACGACCTCACAGCTGAAGCGCTAAGGCCCCCTCTCAGGCAGCCACTTCAATTCTCTCTGCACGAAGAGATTGTCTGCAGCACAGGTTACAGTGAAAATCACCTGGGTGCCCTTGTTAAGAGCACTAATGTAGAATCTGAATCCTATTTATTTTTCAACTTTTCTTTATTTTGTTTTCCTTTTTTTTTATTCTTGTATGTTTAATTTTTGAAGCACAAGGCAAGAATCTTAAAAAAAATTATAACCCCATGGTCTCTTAAAATTATTTCACTAAGATGTTATTTATCCTCTCAATCTGTTTTGAGAAACTTTATAGCTTTTCTTTATACACAGTAAGTATGTCAAGATTAATTAAGGCAATAGTTAACGTGTGTCCAGAACTCTTGTCCCCTGTAAGACATAGCCTGGGCATGTTCAAGCACTTGCTGTTTCCTCCTGAGTTATGCCCCCTATCTCCCCTGGTGGGCATCAGGTTTTTTTTGACAGGCAGAGTGGACAGTGAGAGAGAGAGAGAGAGACAGAAAGGTCTTCCTTTGCCGTTGGTTCACCCTCCAATGGCCACGCTGATCCGAAGCCAGGAGCCAGGTACTTCTCCTGGTCTCCCATGGGGTGCAGGGCCCAAGCACTTGGGCCACCCTCCACTGCACTCCCGGGCCACAGCAGAGAGCTGGCCTGGAAGAGGCGCAACCGGGACAGAATCCGGCGCCCCGACCGGGACTAGAACCCGGTGTGCCGGCGCCGCAAGGCGGAGGATTAGCCTAGTGAGCCACGGCGCCAGCCTGGCATCAGTTTCTGACCTGCAGGTTTCAGGACACGGACCTCTGTCAGTTAAGGAGTGGCCAGAAAGACAGCTTCCCTGAAGGCTGTTTATACACCATTCCGGGAGCGCGGGCCATGGTAAAGTATGCAATAACGCAGCTCTCCACGCCTTTCTCCCAGGAGCCCCCGCAGACTCTCTGCAAGCATTTGCCCAACAGCAGTGTCTCTGTGGTCCCTCACATGCTGACCGGGGACACCTATGTCTCCCCCAGTGTCACCTTCTAAATAATCCTATTGTGAAGCTTTATCATGAGCTCCGATACCGTGCAGAGAAAAAGTCAAGTGGCCTTGCCTATCACAGTCATCCCGACTCCCAGGTGGGCAGGATACACAGAATTGGCAGGGAAGCCAACGACTCTGGATGGAGAGGCTGGCGCCAGGAGAAATTCCTGGAAATCAGGGTGGAGGAACACTCAGCCGAGACTGGAGAAGCTGGAGGAAGTGGGGCATGGGTTGGGGTAGACTCTAGACCATGTCTGCGTCTGAGTCTCAGGAGAAGATGCAGGCAGACGGCGTCCTGTAGGGAGGATCGTGCGGAGCGGGAGCCCAGAGCCAGCCCTTCCTACTCAGGGGCGCTCTGCCAGGCAGAGGCCCTAGCAAGGCCTTCCATCAGCCACCTTTGCCTGCCTGGCCAATCGCCGAGTTCACTAAGGGTCACAGTCCCCACTCCCACCCCCAACCCCATCCGCGCCGAGATTCCATCGCGAGAACTCCCCGCAGGCTGACGCTGCACCAGGGAGACCCACCGCAGCAACTGTCCTAGTCTCCCCCCAGCTCCTGCTTCCCTCTTACCCGTCCCACCTGCCGTCCCAGGTGTTGAGGAGGCAATAACGGGCTCCTTTCCCGTACGCAGAAGGAGCTGGGTTCCAGGTGCCGAGAAGAGCCCCCCAAAAGCACTGAGTGGAGAGAAGTCGAGATTTGACTCCTCATCTAGCGTTTGACCTCCTCCCTTGTAAAGAACCTGCTAAGTCCCACGCACCCCGTGTTTCCATGGTATCAGCAAACAAGACTCAGCTGCCTGATGATTCTGCCCCAGTTTATATTGTTGGCTTCCCTAGAGTTGAAAACCCAGGGGTGCAGCTATGAGGAACAGGGCAAGGAGACAGGAGCCCCAAGTTAGCATCCAAGCCTTGGGGAGGAGAAGATGGGGGCTTGGATAGGGGAGAGAAGAGTCTAGGAGGTCTAGGTTAAGAATCTGGGGCCAAGGCAACAGCAAGAATAAGGATCACTAGGAATTAAGGGTCTAATGAATTTAGATGGGAGAACAGGGACAAAAGTCAGAAGGGAACCAGCTGGAAAGGAAAGCCCAGATAGTCCTGATTCATCCAGGGGTAGGGGTAGGGGCAGCAGGAAGGCCAGACAAGGAAAGACATGGGAAGAACAGGGTAGCTATGTCCATAGAACAAGCTCTTTTGGGTGGGTTGTGCTAGAATGGAGCAGACCAGAGGCCAGCATTATGGCACAAGCCATTGCCTGCATCCCATATCTGCCCCTACATCAGTTTGAGTCCCAGCTGCTCTGCTTTTAAATCAGCGCCCTGCTAATGTGCCTGAAAAATAGAGGATGGCCCAAGTACTTGTGCCCCTGCCACCACATGGGAGACCCAGATGGAGTTCCAGGCACCTGGTTTCAGCCTGGCCCAGTCCTGGCTATTGTGGCCATTTGGGGAGTAAACCAGTAGATACAAGATCTGCTTCGCTCGCTCGCTCACTCGCTCGCTCTCTCTTCTCCTCCTCTCTCTGTAACTCTATCTTTCAAATTAGTAAAATAATTCTTTAAAGAAGAAGAAGAAGAATGGAGCACACCATGGAAAGCAGGGGGCTCCCAGCCCTATGTGACCAGAAGCCAAAGTCCCCCTCCAACCCCTTCAGTCTGCCACCCCCACCCCATCAGGACACCACCTGTGTGGTTCAAACATCCATGATCAGGAAAGAGGTTATAAGATTTTCCCTTTTATAAATGTGCCATACTGATATTGATTGAACAGGTAAATTTCTTTTAGACATTCTTTCAGCAGACAATTCCTTCTTCTGTCCTTTCAAAGATATGGGGCGGGGGAGGAGACAAACTCAAACTCAGTTCCTCCTGTTGCACACCCACAAACAGATCACTTCTGTGATCCCCGGATGTGTGGGCATTCTCTCCACTGGCAAGCCAGCAATGATTCTGATGCTGACACCAGTGGAGTGCCCTCTGGTTCTTTGTAATTTTTTGGTTTGTTAAGATTTATTGATTGGAAAGGCAGAAAGAGAGAGTGTTTCTGCTGGTTCACTCCCTAAGTGATTATAACAGCCAGGGCTGGGCCAAGCCAAAGCCGGAAGCCAGATCTCATCTGCTGCCTCCCGAACACATTAGCAGGAGACTAGACTGGAAGCAGAGTTACCAGGATTTGAACCAGGTATCCCAAACTATTGTTTAACCTGCTACACAGCAACACCCACCCAGTCCTCTAATTTAAATCAATTCTGAGACCATCTACCTGGAGGTAACATCAGACGCTACAGGTTGGGTTTTCAGTCCCCAATCTGCCCCCACATCAGACACCAAGTCTTAGTATCAGGAATTTCTTAACTCACTGCTTCCCGGGACCCCTTCTTTAAGCTAAAGATACTAGAGCAGCTCACAAAACACAAGGAAACACATTCACCAGCTTATTATAAGGGATATTTTAAACACTGTAAGTAAGCAGCCACAGAAAGAGATTCATAGGATGATCTCTGGAAGAATTCTGAACACAAGAGCTTCTGTCCCATGTTAGGAGCCTGGGAGAACAGCAGGTGGATGAGTCTTGGTCACCTTCCCACATCCCTCTATGTGTGCAGCTGTCCGGAAGTTCTCTGGACCCTGTGCTTTGCTTTTCTGGAGATTTCGTTGTGTGGTTGAAGCAAGGACAACCCTGTAGCAGCGTGAATGCACAGAGAGGGTAAGATGGAAGGCTAACAGACTGAGAGGAGAAACCCAGCAAGCCCTTTCTGCTTAGTTTCGTGGTCTCTCCGTGCAGCATATCTTCCTGTAGGGTCGGGGCAGGAACCCTTCTGAAATGAGGATCTGTGCTCCACCATCATGCATGGTAAGTCAGAGTATTTCTTTATGGCCAGCTCCGAGTTAGAAAGGCAGGAGCACATTGTTACTTTCTCTGCCCTGCAAGTCTGCTTCATTGGCCTGCCTCCGGGAGAGAAAGCAGCAGGTGAAGAGGGCAAGCGGGGGCCAGAGCTGCCACACAGCGGGTTAATGCCCTGGCCTGAAGCGCCAGCATCCCATATAGGTGCAGGTTCTGGTCCCAGCTGCTCCTCTTCCAATCTAGCTCTCTGCTGTGGCCTGGGAAAGCAGTGGAGGATGGCCCAAGTCCTTGGGCCCCTATACCCGCATGGGAGACCAGGAAGAAGCTCCTGGCTTTGGATAGGCGCAGCTCCAACCGTTGCGGCCAATTGGGGAGTGAACCAGCAGATGGAAGACCTCTCTCTCTGCCTCTCCTCTCTCTGTGTAACTCTTTCAAATAAATAAATAAATCTTAAAAAAAAAAAAAAAAAGAGGGCAAGCGAGGGTCACAGAGGGAGATGTTGCTTCCCGAAGCTGCCTCTGAGCCCCAGCATGCCCCACACGACAACAGACTGTCTCTTACCACCTTTGGAGAGAAGCTGTTCCTGAAGCTGCTTCAGGAACCGAGGACAAAAGGATAACTACTCTAACCTTATTGTTCTAGTGATTTAGGAAATAGCCAGGGCTATGGGAATTGTAAGCCAGGAATCCTGGACAGAACCCAAGATGTCTATATGATCAGATCACACCCTCTTGTGGCTTGTTCCTCCCAAAACCATTTCCTCCTGGGTATTGCCCTACACTGATCTACCCCCCAGCTCAGCACCACCAACACTACCAACTTCCATTTCAAGTTGGTGTCTCCCTGTCTGTGAGTGGTTCTCTGCAGGCAGCCGCATGGGTATGCATTGCATTGGTATGGGTTACAGTTGTCGTTATTTGCTCTCTGATAATGTATTCCTGGCAAGTGTTCTCAGTTAACTTTCCCCCCTTTTCTTATTTACATTTTTCTTGTATCTTTGTGCAACTTTGAAGCTATTTGGTTGATAGTTCATCTTTGAATGAGGTGATATTTCCTGAATCATTATTTTAGTAGAAAATCCTTATAGAAGTTCATCAATTTAAGTCAAGATTCTTGTGTCTGGTTACTTTTCCCATTTTAACAAAATATCAGATTCATTAGAGAAAATACATAAAATGTATACACACAGCAGAAAGAAAAGTAAATAACAATGCCAGGGTGACTATCACTCATCTTAGAAAACAGAGTACTAGTTACCTAAGCAGCCTTCTGTTTTGCTTTGTTTAAAGTTTTGCTTCAAATGAAATACTTGCACCATGCCATGTAAGAATATGTTTTGTGGAGCACAGTGCAATACTTCAACACGTATGTACAGCATAAACTCATCGAATCAAGCAATCCATTTTCTAATGTTTGGAATTCACACCACCCCCTTCTCTTCTGCAGCTCTTCACACATTCTGTTTGGCCCCAGCAACTGCCTCCTCCTCTGTAGCAGTCACTCTGAATTTTATGTTTATTCATTAGTCACCTTTCCTTGTAGTTTGACTTAAATTCTTCCTATTCTAAACTGAATAGTTTTGCATGCTCATAGATTCTAAAGTTTTACATTGTCTTTTTCTTCTGGATCATGCTTTTGTGGTCCCTAAATTGGTCCTGCTGAGTTGCCTCCTGAAAAGCTCCCATGTTCACCTGTGTCTCGCTTTCTATCAGTGACAGTTGTTAAGTCATGGAACTTCTCTTTAGAGACCCAGCTTTTCCAGGCTTCCAACATTAGCCTTTGCCCTTTGATATTATCTGCCCTGGCAAGACCTATTGCATTTTTTCTTTGCAAAACAGTATTAAAATCACTGAAGTACCTTAAGTATAAGACAAATTAGCAACACTGATTGCCCATATTCTTCTCTAAAGTCAATATCCAACTGATTGCTTACCTTGCAGAAACATTCATTTCATAGTTCAAACATTCTCCTTCAACTATCACATACCTTCACATATATGAGCAGTTGTTTTTGATCAGCTTCCACAATTTTGTCCACAAAAAAAGAAAATAATCGAATTCAACTGATTACCCTTTATGGAACACATATATTTTACTATTTCCTTAAAGCACAATATTTAAGCTCAATAGGAATTCCTTTTTTTATAAAAGAAAACAATACATTGATTTACAATCCGTCACAAACTTCTGAATTTGGGAAATTATTACAGAACACGACCTACTATGCTCAACAATTACAGAGCTTCTTCTAATTACAACTCACCAGGTGATTTGTTCTTCTTTCTTTTCAGTTTTTTTTTTTAATTGACACACAGTCATACATATAATGTGATGTTTTGTTTGAGGTGATGCGTATGCAAATTACCCTTGTCTGATCATTACATAATGTATACATGGATCCCCATGTGAATTTGATAACACCTGATTGGTCTACATCCCATTCAGTAAGGCAAGTGGCACAGCCAAATTGCAATGAAAGTTTCTAGATACTTGCTTTCAACTGCTATGTTAATCCTATCCCAGACCAGACATAAAATATTCACTGGCCAGCAGTGGTCCACAGATCACATCTTGAATTTCATTGATTCAGCCATTATTTTTTTCCCTACAGAGAGGGAACTCCTAGAATTGATATTAAGTTTATTTTCACAGCTTTAAAAATCATAGCTCACAACAGTACTTAGATTGCATTCAATAAACACTGGAATTAGAAATAATTAATATAATTGAATGTTGAGATCACGTCATTATGCTCATGTTAACTCATGATGTTTGACATCCACAAAGTCTTTATGCAGCTGGTTATCCTCCTTTGGATTCAAATTAAGATTCAATTCTGTAACTTTTCACATTATTTTGTGTATGTCTTTTCTTAATGGGGGGACTTAGCAGCAGAGGGTTGAGCAAAGGCTG